GGACGATTTCCATACCTCGATGAATAACAGTTCAACGGAAGATTTAGACACTGTATTAAGATCATGTGTTGCGTGTTATGGAAATAACATGGTAATTGTTATAAAGGCGACTCAATTAACGCCGCAGATGGATACAATTTTTCTTTTTTAATTACATGGATAGGCTAGAAATTAATCTAAAAGAGCAAAATTAGGAGGCGGAAGAAGACTAATCTATAAAGGCTTCTTCGTGGCGATATCATCGCTTGATTTGGGTCCATAAGTAATCATTTCTAAATAAACGACATATTATAATTTTGAATTTTACATCAGCGTGTGAATAATGGAGCTACTCACTCGCTTGCAAATGGGGCTTTTAATCAAATGGGCGCCACATCATCTTTTCCTTTCCACAATCCCCCGTCTCGAATAAAAAATATTGTATCATTAAAGTCATTCTTTCATTTATCGTTCTGATGTATGTACTGAATCCAATTTGTAACGTTTTGTTTTGAAATGGAAATTTTATTCCTAGCCAAAAAAGGGACATGATCGGTAAAATTCGCCTTTCCAGTTTCCATCGGCAATCGCTGCGGTTCTTTCCACAAACCTGACCACAACAGCAAAAACAAAGTATTATATAGACATAGACCACCAAGAAGGACGACTTAAGCTGGGCATGTCGGACTCTTTCATTCATCGTGGAATTGTGGTACTTCTGATAGGAACGGTTTGTATTTTTTCTTATCGTTTTTATCTATTCCAAGTCCATGGATGGGATGTCCGGAAGTTTCTTCGCAAAGACCAAATGACCATTAAACGATATATGTATTCATGGTTACAATCGTGTCGGTTTTACGCTTCCGTCGCCCTAACAATCATCAGTAGTTATGTTGATGGGGTTAAATGTCGAGGATTTTCCAAGATAATTTTGGCGATACGTAATTTTGTCAACTTAATTTCCCAACACAAATGACGCAAATTAGTTGTCTTGTGGATCGAGACGTCTCAAATTCAATGTCTACATGGTCGATATCTTGGAATCACTTGTAAAATGTACCGGTTCATGTAATTTTGTAATAACCTGAAAAGATTGAACCGGCGTGTAATCGTATTTGAACGGTATTAGCCGATTGTCCATTCACGCTGAACATTAGTAATATTCAGAAACCGCAACCCAAAATAGAAATCGACTGGGCGAGTCAATTTCAATCAAACACAAGTTGATCAATAACTTTTGGTCCCTTTTGAACTGTGCTCTTACTTTGTCTCGTGCAGCGAGAAGCCAAGTTGAGATAGATAAATCGTGAGGAAGAAAGGAACAAGTTGTTGTCCAAATTAGTCACAGAGACCGAAAGAGGGATGATGCTAGGTTTGCCAATATCTCCTAATGATCCAAAATGAGTATCATTCATGTTGCCCAATCACGGGAAAAAGTGCCAAAAAAGTCCTAAACCTTTTGCATTTGTGCTAATTTAGTCATAAACCGTTTATTTTGTGCCAATTCAATCCTAAACCTTTTGCATTAGTGCCAATTTAGTCCTAAACTTTTTTTTGGTGCGAATTCAGTCCTAAACCTTTTGCATTTGTACCAATTCGGTCCTAAACCTTTTATCTTTTGTGTCAATTCAATCCTTCCGACCAATTTTGGCCGGATTTTGCTGACGTGGACGCCGGCCGGCCGGTCACCGGCGCTGACGTGGATAACTTTAATAATATTTTTATAATTTTTTGAATTTTTATTTATTCTTTTCTTTTCTTTTTTTTCCCCTCGTCGTCGGACCGACGACTGGCCAGAGGCCAGAGGCCAGCGCCGGCGAGGCTCACCGTTGCCAGCGACAGTGAAGGCGAGCCTCGCCATGGTTGGGCGAGGCCCGACTTGGCCAGATTTGGCAAGGTCATGCCAACTGCCGGCGAGGCTCGACCTCGCCAGATCCAGCGAGGTCGGGCCTCGCCCAGCCATGGCGAGGTCGAGCCTCGCCGGCGGCTGGGCGAGGCATCGCCAAGGCCGTGAAGTTCCGACAATCCCTCTGTGAGGCCATCTTCTCCGCCTCCAACCCGTCGCGGACTGCCTCCGAGCACCTCAAGCGCGGCACCTGGCCCAACTTCAAGGAGCTCGATTTTTGCGAAAAAAAAATGTGTTTTGTCACTTTTTGGGAGATGAAAATGCTGCAAGGGAAGAGGACGAGAGAGAATAAAGCAGAACAGAGAGAGAGAGAGAGAGAGAGAGAGAGAGAGAGAGGAGAGCAGTGAGAGTGCGAACATAGAAGCAGAGAAAGAATAAAGTAACAAAGTGAAAGAGAGAGAGAGAAAAGTGAGTGAGAGCATGAGATGTGAGTGGTAGCGAACAATGAGAGTGAGGAGAGAGAGAGGGCGCGAAGGGAAGAAAAAAACATTAAGAAACCGAAATTTGATCCGATTTAAACCGAGCTGAATTGAATCGTTATGTTAACTAAATTCATTTACTTATTATCCGAACAGAAATCGAACCAAATCGAAAATACATTAATTTTTGGTTCGGTTCGGTTCGGTTCGGTTTCGTTTTCGGTTCGATTTTTGACACCTCTAGTTGCCACTCGCACCACCGTGATCGATCCATAATGGCATCTCTCCTTGTGATGGAAGAGGTGACGGAATGTGCTCATCACCACTTGGATAAAATATTACTTAATTCACAGGACTACGATGGTCTTCTCGTGTTGTGTTGATTAATTGAATCGAAAGGTACAGCTCGTATCACAAAAGAAAACAAATATGTTACACATGTAGTTATTCATGTAAATGGGGTTCGGTCTGATAGACTCAAAGATGTTGTGTGCTTGACTTTGTCTTCAAACCCCCTCAATGAGGCCAAAATTAAAGTTTTAAAATGCACATAATCAACTCGATCATCTAGAACAAAAGGAAACATCTAAACGAGAAAGGAAAAAGTTAGAGACCACCAATTTGGACACCAGCAGTCAATTTCGGCCGTTCGTTCAATTCAAAATCCAAGTTCATTTTTTTTTTTTTGGTAAAGGTAAGTGTATATATAACTTTCTCAAACACCAAATACAAGTTAAAGCTCAAACCAAGTCCTGACCCTATTAGGACATAACCTGTCCATATAGGGTCAAGAGAGGTCCAGCAAGACTATACAAGACCAAAATCCAAGTTCATCATCCATACAATTTCCAGAAAAGGAAACAAAACACACATTCTTGTGAACTTGAAGTCCTATTTGCCGTGATTGGGAGAGAAGAACTATTTGGGTGGAAAATTTTGAAAAACTTAAAAAAAATTTGTGAGCATAATTAGGGGAGAAAAGTTAAATCAACATAGAAGAATTACGCCGCAAGCTACTCCATGACTTTTTCAGTCTTCTTTTATTATTATAAAGAAAGTGTTCTAACTCTAAAAATTATCAGATGACATTCATCTCTCGCACAATGTTAAAAAAAATACATCATCTTATACAACATCACAGTCCAAACTATAGGCGATCCAAAATTTTTCTTATAATAATCTTTTTTATACAGACTGATTAAGTGATTAGTGATTTCTATATACAAGTTCTTCTCAAATAGTTCAAACCATTCAAGCTGACCTTCACTTGAAGAATTACAGTTAGTCAAGGCAATAAGGCAATAATTATAATAATTATCACCCATAAAAAATTAATTTAGCACACTCCTAGAATACCAAATATTCTGAACTCTTTACTACTACTAGCATTATTATAAGATACATAATGCATCTCTCCCATCTATTTATGTCATCATTGATATAACCCAGAAGAAAGAAACAAATTAGGGAGAAAAATCTTCCTACAAACACCAAATTTCTGGTCATTCTCAGGTGACCCCGGCCGAGGGTAACGCTGGAAAGGTTGAATTGCTATGTGGTTAGCCGCCACACGTAACGACGACGTCTCAACTTCTTCGGGTGTCCCATGTTGACACGTAGCTTTTAAAATATCAAATGACGCTTTCGTCCTTGAGGATGATTTTTAAACATGAGTTTACATCTTGTGAAATTATTTGTGCTCGTCAACTTTGACTTTGTGGATTAGGGAGCAATGCGTGGTAATTGCCTTTGTTTTTGTCCCTCGGTGCTCATTTCTAGGAAGGTTCTCTAAGTTATTTGGGTATAAATATTTTCTAGCAAAGACAATATTCGCAGGTAAAATAAAACAATCGCATGTGACTCCGATGGAGATGCGCGATTAAGAAATAAGTTATTGCGGATCACATGCTTTTTTTTATAATGCGCAATTTATGCGTTCAAGAAACGAAACCCTAAAGATTAATCTAATCACTTAACCACCCTTTTCTATCATGTAGAAATGCTGCGCACGATTCAGGTTTTGGGATTTTTAAAGTGCTTTAGCTTGCAAACATTGACCAGATGCTGGATGACCACACAAAAGCACATGGCGATGGTCCTAATTTCGTAAGGCATCTTGATTTGCATGCACTCGCGATTAGGATGGATCTCTCCCTCAAATAGCTACAATTTCCGAATTCCAGAACCGAGTTTTAATTACAAGATTCGATTCAATGCGGTGATATCACGACATACGACTTATAGAATGCGTCTCAACAGGTTCTATTTTTAAAGGAAATGACATACGGGATGTGTGGTGTGATGAACTTAACTATTTTACTTCAAAAATAGAGAAAGCGTGTGTATCACATGGACATGTCATTAAAAAGGTGAAGATGATGTTATTAAATGTTAAATAAGAAACTTAATTTCACCGAAGATATAATTTCATATAATTGATAACATGTCACATCACATCATCACATCAATAGTATTAATATTTTTTTGGCCAAGCCAGCCAAGAGGAGAAAAAACAACCTCGGCGATATACGGGGGGCGTATATGGAACTCATTGTCTAATGCAGAGAGGTCAAAGCAAGCATGTAATTTAATATATGTACACACTTACATTTTTCAAAGGACGTGAAAAGAGAGCAAAATGAGATGTATAGCGACTTCATACCATTCTCCTCTATAAATAGCCACAATCTTGCTGTCCACTCTTCATCCTCAACACTAGCCTTCTTTTCTCTTCTCAGGGATAGTATCTGCATTCTGAGTAGTAGTAGAAGAAGAAGATGGATTTCTATACCCAGCTGTTTCTTTACCTCGCCATCCTCTACATCTCTCTTTACCTTCTCTTCCTTGTCTTCCGAAAGAAATCCTCGCCTAACCTGCCGCCTGGCAAAAAGGGATGGCCCATCATCGGCGAGTCCCTGGCTTTCACCGGGGCGGCAAAGAGCGGCTGCCCCGAGAAGTTCATAAACGACCGCACGGCTAAGTACTCCCTGGAGGTCTTCCGTACCTCGCTTCTCGGGGAAGACATGGCCGTGTTCTGTGGTGCCACTGGCAACAAGTTCTTGTTCTCTGGCCAGAACAAGTACATCACCACCTGGTGGCCCACCTCCATGAAGAAGGTCACCATCTTCCCCGAAACCATGGAGAAGTTCAACAAGGATGACCCCAAGAAAATGCGCAGCTTCTTGCCAGAGTTTTTGAAGCCGGAGGCTCTCCAGCATTACATACCTATCATGGACTCCATGACTAGGGATCACTTGGAGAGTGACTGGTCTCCATATAAGGAAGTGAAGGTGTTTCCTTTGACAAAGAACTACACCTTTGCTTTGGCGTGTCGCTTGTTCATGAACATTAAGGACCCTAAGGTCGTGTCGAAATTCGCCGACCCATTTGCTCGTATTGCTCCGGGATTTACTTCGGTGCCTATCAATGTTCCCGGCACGCCATTCAACAAAGCAGTTGAAGGAGGAAAAGTTGTAAGGCAAGAGCTTCTCAACATTATTAGACAAAGGAAGCAGGAGATTTCGGAGGGAAAAGATGCGAACGCGAGGGACTTGTTGTCTCGATTGCTGACGGAAGCAGATGATGACGGTAGTGTCTATTACGAAATGGATGTGTCCAACAAGATCATTGGACTGCTCATTGCAAGTCATGACACCACCAGTACATCTATCACAGTAATAGTGAACTATCTAGCTTCGTTGCCCCACATCTATGAGAAAGTTTATAAAGGTAATCGTCCTATTCGTATTTCGATAGACAAGATGGCAACATCAGTATCCTTTTTGGATGTAGTTTGCATATATTTAACTCACTTACTTCATGTCAACAGAGCATATGGAGATCGCAAAGTCTAAAGCCCCGGGTGAATTACTGAACTGGGATGATATCCAGAAGATGAAGTATTCTTGGAACGTGGCTTGTGAGTCAATGAGGCTAACTCCACCTGCACAAGGGTCATTCAGAGAGGCAATTACTGACTTTACTTTTGCCGGTTACACAATTCCAAAGGGCTGGAAGGTAATTGTTTTACTTTTCACCCTTCTTCTTGGCATGGTTATCCAATGATTTAATACATGAAATCAACAAGTAAAGATCATATGCATTGATCTTCTCCAATTTTTTTCTCTCAGGCATTTTGGACGGTGTATACAACTCACAAGAATCCCAAGTACTTCCCTGATCCAGAGAAATTTGACCCCTCAAGGTTCGAAGGAAATGGACCCGCTCCTTTTACCTATGTTCCCTTCGGAGGTGGACCTCGCATGTGCCCTGGAAAAGAGTATGCTCGGCTTGAAATACTTGTTTTCATGCACAATTTGGTGACTAAATTCAAGCTCGAGAAGGTCATCCCGGATGAAAAGATCATATACAATCCCTCGCCGGTCCCTGCCAATGGTCTTCTTATTCGCCTCCGAGCCCATAACTAATAGCCTGGCTTACTTGTACAATCTTCATACTATGGAAGAACTTGTATACGTATAGTCATATGTGCACTACAAGTACACCACCGTTATTCTAGCTTAATAAATGTTCGGTCGATCTAATAAAAGTTGATGAAAGTGATGTACAATGTAGAGATGTATTCCTCAATTATATGAAATCAGTTGAAACTTTATTTAGTAACTTTCATCGAGCACATATATCTTCTCTTGTCCGTTTGACCTAGAGGTAATCAAATGAGCGGCCAGTATGGGCACATATATATATATTGGTAAGTCATACACATGAATATGAAACTCAACGTAAAAAAATACCTAAGAAAAGGAATATTTTTGGGAAATACTCAGTCGGAAGGGATGTCTAATTCGGTTTAAGAAAAGGAAAGTCTTATCTACCGGATCATTGGACTTTACAATTAGAATTAAGAATTCCGTGCACAAATACAAGTGGTCATTACCAACTTACATATATATTATATCGGTTCATACTCAACCCCACATACGCACGTATAAGAAAAAAAAACGTGCAATAATTTGTGGGATGGACCGAGTCGAACCCGGTCGGCATGAGACAAAATCATGTAGTCCTAGGGTTTTCTATGTTAAAGCAATTCCTAAGTCTCCTGATTATCTGGTAAACTCATGATAGTTTGTTCTTCCCTCACCTTACTTTTTCTTTTTTCTTTTTTCTTTTTGCCTGACTTTGTGTCATTGCAATGCCATATAGTATAGTCTGAAAATTATCTATTCATGAATTTTTAGGTTACCATTAGATACCTAACAATTAAATATCTTGACTCGACTCCCATCTGTATTCTGTTCTTCCTTGGGTCCTATGCCTAACTAATATATATTTTAATTTAATTCAGGTTAATTATTTTTTCGAAAATTGTTGAAAGCTCCAATGTTCGTATTTAACTTTACTTTAGGTTTTCCAATGTTCGTTCAACCTAATTGCACCTTTGGTGTTAGTATCCACGCATGGTTGTTATATGCTTCTTGGCCAAAAAATGGCTGTAATATTGAGAAAAAGTATGTTGTTGAGGTGTTTGAATTCAAGAGCAATTTAAATGCTTATTTGTCAATACCTAAATTTCAGGGAGAAGGAACACCAAAATTAGTTTCATAGATTTTCGAACTTTTTATTCTTTTCTACTTGGTCATTGTATTGAGCTTGAAGTTCTAACTTTGACCAGAAGGGAGCTTTAATTTCTTATTATCTTTCGATTTTAGCGAGATTCTTCCTTGGTCTTATTCCAATTATATCTTTTGTAAGAAAATTGCCCAATAACATATTTTCAATAGGATGGTTCTTGCCAAATCGATTTTTTTCTCTTTGGGCTGCTCATTTTTCACATCGAATGTCTCTCCTTTGGGATAATGTCGATCACATTCCAAAACGTCACATCCATTGATTCGGACTTACGATGGTTTCCTCTATCATCTTGAATCTTGAACATGAGTCCATCCTTTCTAATTCTAGAGCCTCAAAATTCAAATCGTGCGAATTGGCTGCTAACAATTTAGAATTTCTAAACTTAAAAAATTTGAACGGTTTGACTAAGTACCTTCATTTCATCCTTACTCTTCTTTAGTTTCCTCGACATAAAAAGAAAAGTAAAGGTACATTTCACTATTGATCCCCCGTATACTTTAGGGTCACTTAACCAAATCAAAGAAACTGCGACTGCAATTACCAAACACACGAAAATGAGGTAAAACTATTTACCAATGATGTGTTAAAATACGTCTAGAGTTCAATCCTGTCGAATGAACCCGATCTAAATTGATTTGTGTATAATCATGAAAGTTGAAATTTTCACTCGGTTGAATATCTTCTGGCCTTGGGATAAAATTATGAAGGATTTGTTTTATATACTTTCTTGGTTTATTTCCTGTTGGAGTCCAAATTGGCGTTGGACTTTTCCACGTGAGAAGAGGACTCGAACTAGGAAAGTTGGGTTTGATTTTGACCAAGATCTTTTACATTTTTCACATTCAAATATTCCTCTTTGGTCAGATGGTTGATGAGGTAGAGTGAGTCTTAGCGCCGTTGTTGATGGAAAAGTGGCAGAATGGGTCTTCGGGAATTCATGTCCAGTGAAGGTCTTTACTCGTGAAATTACATCTAGGGAGGAAAAGGGTGCGTAGCTGCGAAATTTTGTGGTAAGATTTGTGAAATTTCTCTGTGAGTTTGAGTGATTATTTTGAGAGAAATTGTGGAGCTAAACACTTTGTGAGTTATTGAGAGTAATTGGGATTTAGAAAACAAAGTGTTTGAATGACTCGAGTATGATTGTAATATTCGTTGTACCGCTCGATCTATAGTGGAATTCTTTACTGCTTTCTCCGTAGATTTAGGTCGCCCTGACCGAATCACGTAAATTTGATATCCGATTTATTCTCTTGTTCTGTCTATTTTACCGTTCAATTGCTTGTTTTGCAATACAATGCATTTTAATTGCTTTAAAAATCGAACTTTTTGAATGTTGGAGACCGCTTCTGTGACGCTTGGTGTCAATCAGGCAAATGTATGTTTTCCTTTTAAAAGATTTTATGACTTTTTTCTTAATCTTCTTTTTCTCCTTCTGGCTTGATCTCTGAGATAGCGTTGTCATTCTTTCTTCTTCTTTCTTCATTTTCTTTTTAAAATTTTTTCATTTCCTTTTGATTGCGACATTAGTCTACCTGACGCTGGTCCAATTGTTAAGTCGATCCTTCAAATTTTGAGGCGAGTGATGAAAGCGAAGGGTGCAGATACAAACCATATTAATACTCAACTAGGCCGTATTTTCGTTCATCTCTAATTAGAGGAAATTGTTCCTTCGTGGTTGGTAGTAGGTACAACATAGACATCGTCCATACATATATCTATACGATATGCCCAAATCGCTTTTTCTCACTAGTTCATTTTTTCCATTATTATCCCCATCATCATAAAGAAAATGGATATATGACCAGATTAACAACGTGTTAAATAGTACAAAGATAGAAAAAAAGAAGATATAATTTGCACATCTCATGTACTTCCGATTTCATCCTCTTCCTCATGCATGGAACTACCCTTTTTTTTTCTCGAAGACAACCACCCAACTTCACACTCGTGTGTAGCGAGTGCCTCGATACTAGTTCATATTTAGTTAAAAAAATTTGGGTCAATATTTAATTAAGCTTGCATGTAAAGGCATGATTAAAAATTGTGCTTGTGTTCTTTCTTACACTAAGTTTGGATGGAGTCATTAGGATGGATCAGAGAGGAAGAGAAAATATTTAAAAGTTATTTCTTTTTTGTTAGGAGGGATTGAGATTATGGGTTTTGGAAAGAATGAATTTGCGGGGGTTATGATCCCAAATTTCCTTACTTTTCCTAATCCCCTCAAATTTCTCCTAATTTGGAGGGATTGTGGGAGATGCACAAATAATTTTTTTCTCTCTTCCATGCATGCCCTATATTATGTCGATAAAATAAAATAAACTTGTCAATGAAACTTTTTGCGCTTTTACCAATTGAATCTTAAATCTTTTAATTGTGTCAATTGAAATCTAAACCTTTACACGTTTTGCCAATTCAGTTCATTTGGCTAATTTTGACTAAAAATTATTGATGTGAACGTTGGCCGTCCTATGTGCACAGCTGTCCAACGTCCACATTTTCATATTTTATTGATTTTTTTGTTAATTTTTTCTTTTTTTTTTCCTTTTTTCTTTTCTTTTCTTTTTTTCCAACTTTGACCTGCCGACCAATGTTGGCCACAGGTGAGGGCCAGCGACCCTTGCCTGGTTTGTGCAAGAGCCGCCAACCCGTTGCCTGTGGCTAGCGAGGGCGTTGCGGCCCTCACCTGTAGCCAGCGATGGTCGGTCGGTGACCTCGCCAACCAGAGTTGTAAACGAAAAACAAAGAAAAGAAAAGAAAAGGAAAGGAAAGGAAAAGTATAAAATATAAAAAATTAGAAAAAAATATTAAATTATTATTAAAAATTATCCACGTCAGCGTTGATCGTATTAACATCCATGTTAGCGGTTTCTAGCCAAAATTTGGCCAGATAGACTCAATTGGTAAAGTGTTAAAATATTTAGGACTCAATCGATATAATTAAAATGTTTATGAGTGAATTGACAAAAATGGAATAGGTATAAGACTTTTTTGGTAATTTTTACCATGTTCTTTCAAGCTTTTATAAATGTGTGCTTATTCTTTTTTCATAGAAGATCGTGAAAGTAATGCGTACTCAAATCATTCAAAGTGCCAGATTTTTGTTGGTGCATTAATTTCACATTACTAACATTAACTCCGCATCTCGTCGCACATAACACATAATTTTACATAAACATATATTGATCATAATATTTACTACCATGACGCATGGAGAATTCTTGTTACAATTTTCTCCATAATGAAGGTGAAAAATTTGAAAATATTGCATATGAATAAGCTTATAGTATTTTATGTTAATATGAATGCGTGTCTTATTTTATTTTCTTTTTCCGTGTGCGACTCATAAAGATATAATTAGGTTCCTTTCCACCCTCTTCTCTTCTTTAACCAAACAAGATCGGCCTCGTCACGTCCACCCTCGACCATCACCGCCGATTCCTCGACGCTTCCAGCTCCTCGGGCACACCCTGGCAACCTCGGATTGAGACCATTCGAGGCGGACTTCAAATCAACCGTAGATAAGCAAGAAAACATAGATCGAGATAACATCGACTCGATTAGACATGAATTTAGCATTTACACCTCAAGATGCGAAACTTGCGACATCAAAGACGATGAAGTATTAGATGAAAGGCAACATACGACACCATCGATTCAAAGGGCATTGAGACCCGCATGCTTTGCCTCCCTACTTCTATTCCATGGTTTTGAACATAAGCGTCCCGATCCTTTCGCCGTCACGCATCACGTCAACGGATGACGCAGAGCACGACGGAAACATGTCCCGCTTCCTCGATCACGTCACGTTCGTAGGTAAAGATTTAGTCCACTAAGTCGCTTCTTTTGTTTCCAGGTGGCCTAGCAGTTGACCGTCGTGCAATGAAGATGTTGAGTGCTTGACGTTGACTTCATATGCTTATATTATAAAAGACAGGCTTTGAAAAAGATAGCAAACGGACAAACCGAATCCACCTACGCTTATATTTGTCCTTGAAAATGAAGTTTAAAATGCGTTCATACCTTAATTA